CTAGTGAATAAATGGATGATACTCTAATAAGGTCTATAGTTTAGTTAATAGTATTATATTAATGTTAATATCCTGGTTTGATAGTGTTCTATGGCTATAAAAATGTTAATCTTAGAAGAAGCTGTGTGAAAGGCATACAGAAACTCTCTATACTACTTTGTGTTTCAAACTATGGAGATAAAATAAATATAAAAAATTGAAAACAGTGAAATAAGATATATCTAGATATATATCCAAATATCCAATAGCTGGAGGTAAATACCCAAGTGAAAAATGTTCAGAGCACATGAATAGGCAATTCACAAAATAATAAAGTTAAAAAAGATCAGACACATGCACACAAATTATTTCATAGTATTTATTTTCTAGAACACTACGTCAAAGAAAGAGGGAAAGTTTGAATCCTGGTATTAGAAAAAAATTACAAAGACAGCAAAAAACAGATATAAAAAGTACGTTAGTCATTTAGAAGATTTTGAATAAGATGTATTTGATCACCAAGTCAGGAAAGAATCTCTTACAGTGGAATTATTTTGTTTCTAGAAATGGGCTTGTAAACTATCTACCCCAATCACCTCATTGCACGAATGGGGAATTGTGAGCCTAACGATTTAGTGATGGTCTTGTCGGCCCATCCCAGTGGGGCTGTATGTCTCCAGACATGCATGGAGGAGACTTATTTTGTAGCATCACTCTACTTTCTTTCCTCCAAATGTCAAAGCAGTTCTTGTTTACCCTAATCCCTAAATTAATTATCTTTAGTTGTTCTTTTCAGTTGGAAACTTGAATCACTCAAGATCACAAAATATGGAAGTTCCAGGATATGAATCTGGGGGTGGCAGACCCTAGAGACTATGTTTTTTTAAGCAATTAAATTTTTTGTGTGTGTACATACCAAAAAATGCACTCATTTGGTGCAGTTCTGTGAGTCATGACACATATCTGAAGTAACCACCACTGCAATTAAGACGCAGACAATTCTGTTATCCAAATAATTCCTTCATGTTGGCCCTTTGTAGTCAACCTCTCCCCCATCTTGAATCCTAGGGCACAACTAATCTGTTCTCTATTCTTACAGTCCTACCTTTTACAGAATGTCATATAAATGGAATCATATACTCTGCATGCTTTTGAACCTGGCTTCTTTTCCTTAACTTCCTGTATATAATGATATTGCATATATTGCAATACCATTAATGATACTGCATATATTGCAATACCATTAGTGATACTGTGTATATTGATTGTTTGTTCTTCCTCATTGCTGAGTAGTATTCTGCTTCATGGATGTACCAGTTTGTTTATCTCTTCATCTGGTGAAGAGTATTCATCCAGACAGTTTTCAGTTTTGGTAATTAATATAGAACTGCTGTAAACATTTGAATAAGGAGTAGGATTGCTAGGTCTTTTGTCAAATGTATGTTAACTTTATGGGAAACTGTCAAACTTTCTTCCAAATGCTTAGTAATTTGCATTCCTATCTGCAACGCATAAGAGTTTTGGTTGTTCTGCATCTTTACCAGCACTTGAATTTGTTCATTGTTTATTATTATTTTTATTTTAGCTTTTCTAATTGGTGTATAGTAGAATCTCGTTTTAGTTTTTAATTTGATTTTCCTTAATGTCTAATGATGTTATGTGTCATTTCATATGCTTACTTGCCATTGGTTAAGTGCCTGTTCACATTCTTTTGCCTGTTTTTTGTGCGGTTGTTTGTTGAATTTTTACAATCCTTTATACATTTATATGTTTTGGATGCCTGTCCTTAGTTGTATATGTGATTTGCTTTGCTTTATCTTTTCAGTCTCTTGCTAGTGTCTTTCATGGATCCAAAGTTTTAAATTTTGCTGAAGTCCAATTTATCACTATTTTGTCTTATTGCTTGTGCTTTTGGGTTTTTATCTAAGAAATCTTTGCCTAACCCAAGATCACAGAGACAGAGAATTTCTCCTGTTTTCTTCTCAACATTTTATATTTTTACATTTTACATTTAAATCTATGACCCATCTTGAGTTTATTTTTATTTAAGGCACAAAGTATAGGTAATTGTTCTCATATATATATTTACTTATTTAGCTACTTATTTATTTACATTTGGATAGTACATTGGATAGGTAACCCAGATTATTTGTTAAAAAAATTAAGCTTGTTCCAATCTGTTACCTTTGTACCTTTGTCAGAAATCATTGAGCATATTTGTTTGAATTTATTTTTAGGTTCTTCTGTTTTATTTATCTATGTTTATGTCAATACCACATTATAATACTATCTTAATGTAGCTTGATAATAAGTCTTGAAATCAGATAGTGTGAGTCCTCCAACTTTGGTACCTTTCAAAATTGCTTTGTCTATTCTCATTCCTTGATTTCTCTATAAATTTTAGAATCAACTGTGCATATCTGCAAAATTCCGCTCAGATATTGATTGGGATTGAATTTATCTATAGATCAATTTGAGGAGAACTGGTATTTTATAATACTCACTTTCAAATCCAGGCACATTTTTTATCATTTCATTTGTTTATGCTTTTGGTTGTGTGTGTGTGTGTGTGTGTGTGTGTGTATTACCTTAAGGAGACAGAAGGAGAAAAAATAAAACAAATGATAAACTCACCATTGGAATGGTCTTTTCTTCCCATTTTGATTCCCTCCCCAATCTACTTACTATATTTTACTTTGCATAGTCCTGAGGTAGTTGTGTTCTTGTTTTTGTTTTTGTTTTTATTCTTTCCAGGGTGTTCAGATATAATTAGTGGGCAGGATAGCCTGTAGTGGGCCTACTCCATCTTGTTTGGCCTCCATCTTGAATGTCAGTTGATTTTAGTTGTCATTATCTAAGTCCTTCTTGTGTGGGATGCCATGGATGATTGAGCATCCAGATGTGAATTATTTGTTGGTTTGTTTCAGTCTGAATGAACCAACTGTAAGTCAATTTCCTGTAGGTGTGGATTTGTTAAATATGAAGTATATGCTTTCTATAGAAACATTCAAAGGATTTATCTTGGGTGGATGGAGACCTAGGGGAGAGGTAGAACACAGAACTACTCTCTTTTATTAAATTCAATAACATTTATTTAGATTCTTAATTTTCTTCTGTTTTTGACAGTACCATAATATATTATTTAAAAATATGTGAAATGAAAATTGATTTGATGGTTAGCAGAATCACCAGGGTCTATCTGGGAGCATTTCTTAGTAGGCATTGCCTTACTGACAAATAACAGAAGTTAGCATATGAAACAAGATCTCACAATATACCATTTATTTAGCCCAAAGAGAATACAATTTCCTTTGTCCAAACACATCTCAGCTGACTGGTAAATCCCAAAACCTTCCAAAGAGTATTATCTCCCCTAAATCTTAAGGGTTACTATCAGAAAAGCTTAAGTAACCTTATCTTCTGATAGAGAAAATAAGAAAAATTTCTGTTTTATATCCAAGGACTGGTAATCAATCACCAAATGTGTTCTCTCAAGTGCAGTATAAGTTGCCTACCTTATTTATATCATACTTTTTAGATTATTTGTAACACAGGCACATGCAAAAAATTGTATAAAGCACAGTGGTGCAGAACAGTCCAGAGCACGACTAAAGTGATCCACCAAAGTTAATTTCATGTACAATTATTTGATATGCTTTGAGGATATTAATATATCTTTCTTAGAATAGAAGTTTATTTCTACACTTCTCATTGAGACCAAATTTTGCACATTTGTGAAATCAGGGAAAATATTTACATTTTTCACAGAGGGATTATACTTTTCCTACAAAAACTGTTCAATGTTTTTAGCAGATAGTATCTTACAAGTCGTATTTTAAAATTAAGTAACCAAATGAAGATGTATAAATCTTAACAAGTGTTGGAAAAACTCAGGGACCTCATAGAGATTGAAGTTACGTCTTTTCCACGAAAGTATGCAGTTAAGTGCAGAAATCCAATACAAATACCTTATTGGACTCTCATTCATTCATTCACTATTTGTGCCCTAGGACTGTGCTAACTCTTAGGTTGCAGTGATGATTAATACATGATTCTGGTTTTTCAAAAAGCCCTCAAGTAAGGCATTGTGAACTGATTTTAAAATAGAATGGTAATTATCCTTTTCAAATGAATATTTGGCCCTTCATTTAGTCATTTAAATGAGGGTGAGAGAGCAATTACATTGTTCCCATAGGCTTCTAATGGATAAAACATGTCACAATATATATGTAAATGCTTTATTTATAATACATAGCTTTTTGTAGTTTGCAAATTGCATTTGAGTTATACATTTAATTGTCATAATAATCTTCTGGTTAGATCAGGCATGTATTAAAAGACCCATTTATAGTTAATGGAACTGAAGTGAAAAGAAGTTGTATAAATTTGCATTCTAGAAACAGTTGAAAAATGGTGGAACTGGGACTCCAGTATTCACTTTGTAACAGATCGCTGTTCTCAAAAGCTAAGAGCATAGCCTGTCAATCCATAATCCTAGGATTAAAATTCTCATGAAATACTGACAGAGCTAATATTGTGTATATAGCTGGGAAGCTACACATGTCTCAGTGTAAGTGTCATCTCTCCTGGGAAACCCCCCTCAATTAGACTAGTTAGCATTCTCATTGACAAACTTTTACAATTACAACTGTAATTAACTACTTTTTACCATTGTATTTGTGTCCCGCCGAAGATCCTATGTACCCCACTTTGTGGGAGACAGATTAATTATTAAGTAATTTTCCCTTACCATCTTTCTTCCTGGGTAACATATAATAAATTTCACAATGATATGCTCTCTTCAATTCTGTATTTACAGTGCCTATCATGGTGTCTAGCACATAGTATGTGCTTAGTAAAAATGGGTTTAGTAAATTAATGTGTGCCTACATATTAATAGTATAGTATATGTCTCTAGCATTAGGCTGTATATACTTTCTTTTCTTCTGAATACTGAAGTGTTTGACTATCTCCCAAGTATGCTTAGGTACAAAATAACCATTTTCTTTTTACATTCACAGGATTATACCTTGACAATGTACTTTCAGCAAGCCTGGAGAGATAAGAGGCTGTCCTATAATGTAATACCTTTAAACTTGACTCTGGACAATAGAGTGGCAGACCAGCTCTGGGTGCCTGATACCTACTTCCTGAATGATAAGAAGTCATTTGTGCACGGAGTGACCGTCAAGAACCGCATGATCCGCCTGCATCCGGATGGAACAGTCCTTTATGGCCTCAGGTCTGTAGCGTACATTTCAAATCGAACTTTTCCTGTATGAAATAGTTATTGCTATTTATTGGAGGGGGATATTGTGCTGTTTTACTTAGCCATCCTTCAGTTCTGGGATAAGCGGTTAAATCTCTTATTCAGTGGACATCTGAGAGCTTAAGGGAACATGTTTACAAAGGGACTTAGTGCTGGCTAAGACTCAGTTTTTCTAAATTATCTTCTAATATCAGCTGTTGATACTAAAGCTGCTTTCTTTAAGGAGTAGGGATAAACAATATCAAAATAGCTGAGATGTAGGGTTTCCTTAAAATGGGAAAAAATTATGAATGCCAAATACTTGTTTGAACGTGGCAGATGCTCTGTTTTATAAATTGCTCCTAAACTGCATGAACTGGGTCTGGTCCTCTGATGACAGGAAGGCTTTCTGTGTCCTCTGACCTTCCAAAGAGGAATCAGACTTGGAAATAAAGTCGTTATCTCATGTTTATTAATGAGTATACACTATTAAATGTAATTTTATGTCAGAAAAGAATTATGATTCTCTGTTCTTTGGGTTTACAAATGAATTGTAAAATAAGGCAATTTCTTCTTTTAAAGTTTATTTTGTATTAGAAGTGATAGATGGTTTTCTGAGGAAAAAAATTAAGAAAAAAGTTACTTGTCTTCCTCTGAAAACATTATACTATATAGGATTTCTCTGCATTATCAGGAAGAAATGCTAAATTCTGAAATGTTCAATTACCTCTGATATATTCTGTTTTATATAAATATGTGGTTACTTTATCATCATCATCATAATAATAGTAATATTCATTTATTGAACACTTGTTAAGGGTCAGACTTTGAGCTAAGAGCTCTTCATGCATTATTATAGTTAATCCTTACAGCAACTTCATAAGTTAGAAACTGTTATAGTCTTTAATTTCAAGTAAAGAAACTGAGGCTGATGAAACTTGCCTAAGATCACAAAGAAAATAACCTGTGAATGGGATTTGAACTCATGTCCCAGTTGAGAGCTGCAGCTCTTAACCACTACACTGGGATGCTTCTCACTTCCTCATTTTTCTTATTGGTCGCATCTCATTTTCATTATCTGGTATATTCAGTGTGTTTGATTGATATATTGTCTTAGATGCTTATAAACCATCTTCTTTTTTTTATCATATTGATCAAGAAAATGGCATTTGGCTACTCAAGGAGGGAGAAAGAGAGTGAAGCAGACAGAGAGCTTGTTTGTACTGTGTCAGCCACTGGCTGTAAAGAGATGGATTGAATACAGCACTGCTCACATATATGCCTTAGGGAATAAGCAGCAGAGATAAAATAAGTTGACTGTCAGTGTCTGCAGAGATTTCACCAAAGTAGTGGACTGTGGAAGTACTAATGGAAAGAACTGTGTTAGCAGATACATTGTTTTAAACTTATTACTTGTAAACAACTACAAAACATGTGGTATCAAAAAGACTTGATGAGGGTTACCAGATAATGGTGGGGGAGATGGAGAATAAAAAGAGGTTGAGGTTAATACTTTTTAAGAGTTAAGCACAGAGAGAAGTCAGACTCCTAAAGGCAGTAGGAGGCACAGAAATAATCCCCCACTCAGCAGTGAATGAGGGGAAAGAGGACTGGCCAGTGGCAAGTTCTGGCTAAGTATCAAACACAGTGCCAGATGCATTTTGCTTAAAAAATCAGTTAATCTTTGCAACAATCATATAGACATTGCACTGAGTTCTTCCTGTGTCCTTGGAAGGCCCATCTTCATAGCAGGAAACAAGTGATGTTCTCTCCTGTATATCCAACACTGACAAAGTAACTACATGGTAAATAAGCTCAGTAATTGTCAATAAATTCTGAATGCACATATCCAAGGTTAAATAGATTGAAAAATCAACAATCAGTATGTCTTTGGAATTGAGAGAAAAAAGAAAGAACCAGTATAGATGATAAATATGGCTTCTTTATATCATCAAGCCAATAATTAGACAAAACAACTGATGGTTGTTCATTCTTATCGTGAAGACCAATTGGACACCATTGCTGTAACTCCAACTCACAGCAGCAGGAATTCATCACTCTCCCATCCCCACTTCCAACAAAGGCTGTTGCCCAACTATGCAGGTTCCTGACACATCTGACAGGCATAAAACTAACACTTCTGGACAGAGAAAACTCATGAATTCTGATTGTTCTCTCAGTTGTAATGTTAATTCTGAATTTGAAATTGATAACAAGGTTTTTCAGGAAATTTATAAATGTTGCATTGCAGTTTTTACTGATAAAAAGTAGAACATTTTGTTTCATGGCTGGAAACTGAATGCAGACCATATATTCTCTTCTCAGTTCCAAGAGGTTCATTTTCAATAAATAAGTAAAAAGAATTCAATTACCATTGCTAGGATTGATTCAGCTCTACTTCCCCCCTCTCCTACTTACCTATTTCCAGCTCAGTCATTTTCTATTGCTGACGGCCTAGCAAGAAATCTACCCTGTGTCTATGTTCAATAATGGTGCAATGAAACACATACTAGTAGTATTAGTATCAGAAGCTCGCACTCATTAAAGAACTGAGCATGTACTTGTCACTGTGCCAGAACTTTGCTTATATTTTCTCATTTAATATTGACTTTAGCTCTTAAGAGTGTTTTTCCATCTAACATGAAGAAACTAAGGAAATTGTGTGCTACCCTCGGAAAAACATAGTAGTTTGAATGCACAGATGTTGCTCTTCATCACCATTCTGTCCTGATCCTTAGGTACTGGCAAGTTGGGAATAAAGAATAGTAAGAATCACCTGAGAACACACAGGGAAAAAAAAAAAAGAAGAAGAAAAAGAAAGTTAGATGGAAACAGCTTTCATTAGATCTAAAGACACAGACCTTGTTCTTGATTGATAAATAGGGCCCTAAGGAATAACATATCTGAGTTTTCTATGGAAGGTACATCTTTAGGTCTGAGGTTCACATCAGTCCCTGTTTACTAAAGGGATTTTTACCAGGTAGAATGAGGCCTCTGAGCTCAATGTCATACTAGGTCAAGGTAAAAGCAAAGGACTTAAACTCTTCTCAGTTGAGAGCCACAGAGATTGGCAGATATGGAGTAGGGGAGGGGAAGTCATTCAGATGATCTAAGTAAGCTTCTTCTTAGGGTTTTCTTTAGTGAAATGTTCAAGTATAAAACATAATAAAGGTAGAGGAAGCAGTATGCAAAATATTAATGTTTGTTGAATTTCATGGTATACATAGTGTTCATTGTGTTATTCTTTCAACTTATCTGTATATTTGAAAATTTTCATGATAAAATTTGGAAAAGGAAAAGAATTGTTATGTTTCAGAGGCCTAGGAATCTCCTGTTCTGTTATCTAGAATATATTACTCAAGATTTAAAAGTATGCAGCTAAGAAATGATACTTCCATCTATTAGTGGTAGAGAATCCACTTTCAGTAGCTGTCTGAAAATGAGATCATCTCATCTCAGAGCACGTGTGGCTTAGTAGGTGGGATCCATGACCACAGAAAATTGATCAATGATCAATGAATGTAAAAGGATGTGTAATCTAACATCAAACTAGAAAATAAAATTACATATTTGAAGTAACATGCTAATTTGTGGATAGTAAATGTCCAATGTAACTATTTAATAAGTAAGCGGATGTTGGGAATATTTGATAAGTAAACAGAAGACTGGGAAAGAAAAGGTTTAAAATATCAAGAAAGTAGTTTTACATTATAATATTTTATCCTAATTATTTTTCATGATTCTGTGAAGGAGCAAAATCTATTGTCTAGAATGAGAAGAGTAGGAATAAGCAAGTGGAGTGAAGAGAAGGGGAAAGGTCAGACCAGCTATGGCTCGAGTCTGTCAGAAAAGGGGAACTACTAAGGAAAACTTAAAGGATTGTCAAACAACATTGAGGACACGAACTTACTGTGGAGCCAGTTATCACCAGTCATTGTATTTGGCAGCATGAGATCAGGAGTTAAGGAAAAAGATGCCTGGCTTGAGACCGAGGCAGCCTTGGCCACCTTTACAAGCTGCCCTGTTTCCCCACACCCAGACCTCGTTTGTGGCATGCACTCAGCAATTTTCATTTAATTGAGTGTTGTATGGTTTCTGTTGAACCAAGACTTTCCTTTTACTCTTATCATGTGTTATCACATCTGTATTTTTCTCCACTTATTTAAAGATCTATAGGATATAGGGATAACTAAGAAAAGTTATGCATAATCCTTTTTCAATAATAAATGTATAGTTAGTGGCTAAGGAATATGAAATCCTTGAATGTAGATTCTTACCTTCACTCTTGGATGGTTGACAGTGCAGTTATACCAGTTTGATCATAAAATCAAATGCCTCCTGTCTTTAACAATACTATTTAGAGATTTCTGTCTGGAGACACAGCTGGAAGTGGGAAAGAACATTTTCTTGGGAGTAACCCACTTGTGGAATGGGTGACAAAGGACTTTTCAGTTTAGTAGGCAAATAATTTCTAGTAATTTATAAAGCAGATATTTCAAACAGATTAACTACATTTTATTCCAAAATAAAATGGATGCAATCAAATCACTTTCAGAGCACTTCAAGAAAAAATGACATAGAACATAGGAAATATAGGATTTCTGTCAGTGAACCCAGATGAAGCATTAGCAGGTAAAAATCAGGTTTAATCTTGTTGGCAGCATAAAGAACATTGCATAGATATAATTTAAACTGTTATTTAATTAAAATTATAGAATATTTATTAGATTATAAAAGCAAAGAAATAATTACACTGTACAGAGAATTAGGAGGTCTGTAGTCTAGTCTACAATTAGTGGTTCTTATAATTACTCATTTAAGTGATTTCTAAATTTTTTTCTAGCTCCAAAAATCCCATTTTCCTGTGATTTGCTAATACATGGCATATATGCTTTTAGGACTTCAATCTCATTATTAATAGAGCAATATTGGCATTTGCTCTATGGTATTTCAGTGCTTTAGTAATTTTATTTATCTCCTTGAAAAACACCTTC